AAGCTGTCACATACGGCCCACAATCCGGACAGATTGACAGACATTTAAGATCAGGTATCATTGCGTAACGGTTCAAGTTGCCATACCACATAGAATCACATCAAATGAGAATGCGACAAAATAAACGATTGAGTAATTTGGAAGGAAGAATTCAAAAGCTTTATAATATCCGTCATTAGAGAGCGGGGAGGAACGGCAGAACATTGTAATTCGGCATGAAGATTAAGATGGAGGTAATATGTGGATGTGTCTGTTCCATTTGGATCCACTGCAAGCCACATCACTCACAGCCTCCAGTTACTGACTTCTCTTGCGATATGAACTCGAACCGAGAAGTCTACATTCCCAACAGTCAAAGACTTCATGAACTGATACCGAAGTTTTGTCTTACCATCCTTGCCCTTCTTGCAGCCTAAACCTACTTTTGATGACCATGTTTCACAGAACGCAGCATACTGCAGCGCTGTATACTTGATCTTTAACAGGCAGTTGGATATCATGGTGATACCGTAAGTAGCGCAAATTAGTGAATGTCAACCGAGACCTTTGTATTCGTCCAACGATCCCGTTGGTTGGTTGGTTCCAACTGCCACTTTACTTCCTATTGTTAGACAGCGTGCCACTTAAATCAAGTCTTGGAGCAACCGTCTGTATTTTGTTGAGGAGAAACACATCACAAACATTCTCAAATTGACATACAAGTTTTCTAGAAGACTTTATGTTTTGTCAGCGTCTGGTAAGACTGTGTCATTTGCGTACTCAGGGTTTACTAAAGATCCCTCAATGATAAGATCAAGACCAGTAAAGACATGACGAGAGATGGTCCTGTATAAGTGCGTCTGTGGAGAAATTAGATAAGAACGGAGAGCTCGAATATCTTTGACGGAGATCACTTGACATACAAGACTCAACTGTACTGACTACAAACTATGGGTGTTTCAGTACAGAGCGTTTGACAGTGTGATATGCCTACCCGATATACTTTTCAGCGAGATACACTGCCACAAGATTTCTCGATCAACAGAAACCAGTACCGATTTCAGATAGAGAAATACAGCCAAAGTGGGGCGTCGGTAATTGTAGCTGCGTCCCAGAACTTTGTGGTGGGAGAGTATCTGATTTATACACCCACGGCTAGGTCTGAAGTCTGAATGGTTGTCTCAGGTTTATTGCTGTCTGGCTCCACTCAGACAGCTGAAAATTATGGAACATAGAATCTTAGACACTATGTACTTCAGGCTGATTCCCCTGTGATGATAAAAGAAGGCTTCGCGTATTTTTTGAAGACTGGTACAACCAGTGTTAGAGATCAGTCGAAGGGAATCATATCTGACTCCCATTTACCAGCGAACACTTCAGTTAGCCCGACCAATTACCAGCTACCACCGTTCTTGAAAACTTTCGCTATTGGCCACTCTGCCTATTCTGCTGCTCTTCTTTTCAGGTTACTTAAATCCCTTTGGTTATGTCTGAAAGCTGTAGCTCCGTATTCTATTCAAAATTCAATTATATATTTGGTAACGGAATGATAGTTGCAGGGTAGTTGAACTATTCCTCTAAATGTCCTGCTTGTCATTTCAGTAGTCTCTCCTACTGGTAAATAGCAAACCCATCATTCTTAGCTGTAGTCTCACTAACCACTGACCTCTTTGTTGAAATATATTTAATTCTTAGTAGTTAGCTACTGTTACGCATAAACACAGTTTATTCCATCACTGTGGTCTTCGCTACCCTTCACTGAGTAGAGTAGTAGCAGTACTGGTGCGTACTGCTGAGTAGTTCCATACTAGGATGAAACAGCTGTCCAGTGCTCCCAGATTCTCAATGGTTCCCCAACTGATGTCAGTCCATGGTGAATACTACTTCTGACTGAAAAATCCCCATTGTTGTTTATACTTTGAGTTGCATTAAGTTTTACTGTCCTAAACTTTTCTACTCTGAATTATCAACTTTGTGGTGACCATCTACACTTTCAGTTTATTATGATTGAGAATTGGTATATTTTACTACAGTTTTCGATTTGAGAAGGATGATTTCAGGGATTAGAACAATAAAATATTACACGAACTGACATTAGTTAGGGAACCAGTGAAAGTCTGGAAATAGTGGACAGCTGTTTCATCCCAGCATCCTAGCAGTACGGGTTTACGGACCCACCAGAAATCGAGCCTAAGATCCTCAGGTTCTACGCCAAGCAAGCTACCAGAAGGCCTTATGTGCGATCCCCGACGCGGTCATTGGGCCATGCCGCTGAGGAGTCTCATAGTAAAACGAAACGTCTGTCTAGTGCTTCAAGGTTTTCATTGGAGTTCGCCAATTGAGAACAGTTAATTCTTGTTCCGAAAAATTTAAATAATATGCCTTCAAGCTGTTTGTCTCTCACATTGGCTAATCATTTGGATAGTAACCAATTTCATGTTGTCTAGTCATGAGGTCTGACCGAATACTAACGAACATTCATTGTAATTCTTGCCACCAAGCTAAGGAACTGATCATCGTATTGCAGTTTAAATAATGTTAGATAATTAGGAGACAGTCAGCAGAAAGAGCTCCGTTAGTTAGTAAGATGTATTTACTACATTGAAGGAAATGATATCCCTTCTGGATTCGAACCCGAATCACTAGCCTTCTAAATTGAAGTGATTTTCATTCGTTAAGTTTATGAGAATTTCATTGATTTTTTAGTTTGTGTTCTTCATGGGATGACAGCAGTTGGAGGAACACTGAAAACCTCAGAGTTCTGGACATCTGTATCGTCCAAGTATTTGAATCCTCACATTGCAACTAACCTAGTTGGTTTCCTTGCATAAGTGTACATCACTAAATGAATAACTGTCATTCCTATTTTAACTGTAAATAGCCTTAAAAGAAGGTATTGCATAACCTATTTGCTGACAAAAGGTTTCGTCACTCAGAAGAAGTAAAAGAGGATTTCAACACCGGAATTCTTGAATATAATCCAGAATAGATTATTCCTATATAAAGCAATTTTTGCTGCTACTTAGCACAAGTAAATGATAGAAGGCCTTTAAGCGTAACAAAAAGACCTGTCAGTTTCAATCACTTGCACGTGTTTCACCTAAGAGTTTATTGTTTTCCCTCTGATAATAATGAGGTATCAATCAAGATAAAGTGTGGTCAACTTATAGTTTGATATTCACCATGGTCTTACATCAGTTGGAGAAATATTGGGAACTTGGGTGCACTGGACAACTGTATTGATTGGTCATAGGAGTGCAACCAATTTATGTTGTCTAGTCCTAAGTGCTCAATCGATCATGTTTGCAATCTGGCAACCAAGCTAGGAAGCTCAGCATCACAGTGAACATTAGTAGATGTTAGCTGGTTGGAGGCAATTGGCAGGGAGCCTTGGACTTAGTTTTCGTGCTTCTTGGCACTCGCCAGCAAGGTGTATCTGCAACCTTGATGGAACTGATGTCCCGCCTGAGATTCGAACCCTTGTCACCCAGTGTTGTAGTCAGCGACTTTACATGTCCTACAGCAGGCCGGATGTGGCCCCAATGGCTCAGTGGTAAAGTCACTAACTACAACACTGGGTAACATGCGTTCGAATCTCAGGCGGAACATCAGTTCCATCAAGGTTGCAGATACACCTTGCTGGCGAGTGCCAAGAAGCACGAAAACTAAGTCCAAGGCTCCCTGTTGATTGCCTCCGACCAACTAGCAATGGACAACTGTCTCACACTTATCACTGCACGCTCGCCAGTTCACCAAAGGTAGATCTCAGGACGTTATTATACGAAAGCCATTACGCCATGTTTTAGCCAGTGGATCGGAATCCAACGAACCGTATTTCCAACTTCTGTCTATTCATAACATAGTGCTACCTCAATCCAATAACATCGCTGAGTATTTGTTCTCCCCGAAATAAGCACTGAAGTTTAGGTATCAGATCATTCCTACTAAATGAGGACAGTTATTCAATGATGCCATTGGATAAGAATTCTGCTACATTATTTATTTTGTTAACATGAAATGATTGTATATATAAGAGAAAAGAAACGATTCATTTAGTAATGATCACAGAAAGAACACAGTGAAAATAGATTACATGGTTGAAAAATGAAGTTACGCACGCACACACGCACACACATACAAAGTCAGCGTAACAACAATAGATTAGCCGAACTCACTGATTGCATGTATATATTGTTCTCTATTTAGGTATTATATATATATATATATATATATATATATATATATATATATTATAGGTATATATTAACGCCTTCAAGTAACTAGATTTTTAGTTTGTGAGCGGATCTAAGAACAAAATAACAGATAATTACAGTTACAATGAAATGATGTAAAGTAATAATGACATTAAAATTTTAGTTCAAAGGGCTTTTAAAAACATTCAATCACTCAACAAAGAGTTAGTTAGAAGAGACAAAAGAAGAGAGGAAAGAAAAGGAACCATGAAACAAATAATCACGAAGAAAAATATGAAAATGAAGAAGAAACTTCTTATACATCTTATCAGATGGTATCAACATCATAAAAAGAATATTTGAATAAAATAGAATGAAAGGTTATATCGGTTACAGTATCGAACACCTCCTGCACAGTAATCTCTAAGAAAGAAAGTATTAATTATACTCGAGTCTGATAATTATTTTCAGTAATACATAAAAAATATTCATCAATCTTTGGTAATTCAAAACAGATTTTTTTTCTCCATCATTAATTATTTGAACGTCTATACCTTCAAAAAAGAACTTTCTTGGTATATTTAATGATATGTAAGTGCTTATTTTCGTATATATATATATATATATATATATATATATATATATATATATGTACCAGAATGATGGAATGTTTTTAAAGTGATCATGAAGGAGGGTCAAGGAGGAGGTGAAATGATTTTACTGGTATTTTATTCTTTCATCTGGATCATTCCAATTGTAAATTGTTTTTTTGAAGGGAGGGGGCCCGATCGGTAGGTGGGTGAGGAAAGGAGGCGACATCTAGGGGAATCATCGAACAGATTGCGGTAATGTATCAGTATAGACTGATAAACTTGATGTTAAACAATTCATATCTGGTTTAATATCATTTTGACAAGATGAATTATTACCCATTTGAATAGTAGTATTATGATTCGATTCACTTGATAAGTGAATATTATACTCTGATGTTACTGGTCTATTATATAAATTTTCTGTTTTCTCTTCATCATAATCATAAGTTTTTAAATCAGGATAAAATTTATTATTTATTACATTTTCACAAGTTATATCATTCATTATACTTTTATTTTGTATTATAGTAAATTGACTTAATGAATTGGGTTCATTCGATTTTGAGTTATCTGATGAGACTTGATTAGTAGAAGTACGACGAAATTTAGCGCGTGCATTTTGAAACCATACCTGATAAATTATATAAAATAAACGGAATAATTAAAAGTTGTATATACATATATGAAAAAAATAGAAAATTTGCTTATTTTACTTGAATTAGTGATTAACAAATGGAATCCGAGATTCATATTTCGCTTTATTTAGGGCTCATCAGCTGAAACTTCTACCGACTATCCATCCACTAAACTACTGAGACATGAAAATAATCTTTTGTAGAACAAGTATCATGTGTTTTTAAAAGATACTTGTAATTTCTGGGTCGAATTACTCTACCTCTATCAGTAGATGGGTTCCTGTGTGAATCTCTTGACACCACCTGATTACTCATTATCAATATCAAACAACAAGCGAAATTCATTGCACAAAAGGTGGCTGTCATTCCCCACTGGCCTAGTGGATAACAACTTGGCATTTAAAAAGACGAGTGCTGGGTTTGGATCCCAGTTGGAACACCATCACTCGCTGCAGTGCAAACACATACAACTGACGAGCCCTAAATAGGACCAAACGTGGGTTGTAGATCCCAATACTATCTACTGAGTAAAGTATGACACAATGAGTAGTTTATGATGTTTCCATAGAGATGGATCAGTTTGACTTAGTATAGAAGCACAAGGTTAGTGTAGGTGGGAATAACTGAATACTCCATCACCACCAAATGTTCACTGATTTTCCAAAAGTTGTAAGCTCATAATAAAAACTACCTTTCAGTCGATCAATCCTTGACAATGGCAGGTTGGATTACGTTCAGCTTGGCTAACGGAAGCTGAACCAAGTGAAAGTGTGACTGAGAAAATAAAACGTAGAGATACAATTTGATAACATGCCTAGTCTAGCTTTAATACCAACATATGTGGAGCAAATAAACGATATTTTGAAGTTCCTGATGATTTTATGTTTGAAAACCTGGAAGCACAGTCCCAGTATAGGACTCCTCAGCAGTATACACCAACAATCCAGCTAGAAATCAAACACAAGACCTTCAGGTTTCATGGAAAACGTGCTAACCATTCATCTACTAGGTTAGAGATTAATGACCCACAGTTTCCTATTTTCGTCAACTCGCAGTAAAGCGTAACAATCACCCAAGGTCTTCAGTTGGCATCTATTTCAAGACATTAGAAGCTTTGACCTATGGAGTCAACCAATCTGAAGTGCAGCAGATGGTTGTCCAACTGATGTCAGTCCATGTTGAATGCTACCGTAAATGAAGCCATAAATAAACTCTCTGATGGTATAAAATTGAGATTATACTTCGCCTCAAAATGACTGAAATGGAACAATGTGGATCACTGAATTTCAATCGAATGGTGGGAAGGCAAAGTCCTGGGTTCGATCTCTGCTGGTGTCATGGGTATGCATGTCTAAGGAGTTCCATACATATGATGAATAATCTGCTATGAATACTGAATAAAATACAGTGTGGAGATGTACTTCACTGCACTTGACATATAGTGTGAACAACATCAGTCAAGTCAGTGCTTCTATGTAATGATTGAGAGACTTGGGGTGTTACAAAAAGCATCTTCAACAAACTACAGATATTCATCAACAGATGCCATCTACGCTGACTTGATACTGATACTGAAGCTCAGATGGCCAGCGTAGTTAGAATAAGCAACAAAGAATAGTGATCAGGCAACGAACCAATCAAGAAGCTATCGCTCAACACATATACAGAAGGAAGTGGAAATGGATTGATTATACACTGAGAAGACCATTCAAAGACATCACACACCAGGCCGTCAATTGAAACCCGGATAGGAAACCGCAAGTTGGACGTCCAAGTTAAAGGTGACATGAAGGAGATGGAGTGTGAAAGAAATAAAAGCTTATGGGTAGTCATGGAGCCAGATTGAAAAGACTGCAGAGAAGAGAGTGATATGGTGACCTACTACTAAAGCCTTATGTTCCACTAGGAACCCAAAGTATAGATAATAATAATAATAATAAACACTGTCTTGGTGAAAAACGTGTATCATCTATATACCTGTAAAACACGTTTTGATAAACCAGTTTTTTGTGAAAGTTGTTTTAAATCTTTAGAATCTGGATTATGACTGAATTCAAAATAGGATTTCATTATTCTTAATTGTTGATGTTTAAATGATGTACGTATTCTTTTCATTTTTCCCGAATTCTTATCCAATCTTCCTCCATGAATTTTATCATTAATTGTTAATCGTTCATCTTCTATTTTCTTATTCAATTTTGAAGATTTAACGGATTTAAACTGATCTAATTTTCCATCTGCAAAAATAAAATAAAATAATTTTTTTTATTTAGACAAATTATTATGTTTAAATAATTTCATTCTAGTTGAATATGTATATTATATATATATATATATATATATATATATATATATATATATATATATATAATATATATATATAATATATATATATATTATATATATATATTATATATATATATATAATATATATATATATATATATATTATATATATGTATATGTATATTTATATATATATATATATATATATATATATATATATATCAATATTAAGCCTAGGGTTCAAAAAAACAGTAACACAAATCCATCTCATACTGATGGATTTGATTTCGAGTTGGGATACATGAACAACTGACATGGATTAGAGAACTTTCAAAAAGTTGGGAGTAGTGTATAGATGTTTCATTGTACTATGCGCACCCAAGATTGAACCCACTACCTATAGGACTTTATATCCCACTTATCATTATTATATTATTTGTCCCTTGGGTTCCTAGTGGAATATACGGCTACAGTAGCACCTCCTCACTTCACTCTCTTCTCTACAGTCTATTCAACCTGGCTGCATGACTACCCACAAGCTTGCATTTCTTCCTAACATGATCGTCTTCATCTCACCTATGGCTCCTACGCTCAACTCATCGTTTACCGTTTGGGTTCCACTCGATGGGTTGTTGGTTGGTCCACTGCTAAAGTTCCTTGTTGTTTATCCTTTCTGGTCATCTGGTCTTCAGTGTCAGTATCAAGTGAGCGTAGGCAGAAGATGGTGATGATGGATATCTGTAGTTCGTTGGGAACGCTTTCAGTAGTGCGCCAATTTTCTGAATCGTGTAGAAGCATTGAATTGACGTTGGTGTTGAAAATCCGGATCCTGCTCACACTTAGTACTAAGTACAGTGAAGTGTAGTAGACCTCCACACTGATTTCAGATTAATGAAGGCCTGTCTCTTTGTCTTTAAGATCCTGGCATTGATATCCTCATCTGTGCCACCTGTATTTGAGACGATGGTGCTTAGGAAGGTAGGTGAAAGAGACAACTTCGTTTAGATTTCCCTCATTCATGGTGGTCGATGCTTGTTGCTGTTGTTGTTGGTTGGGTATCTTCAGCACTTCTGTCCTCTCTATACTCACTTGAAATCCCGCCTTCCTTGGCTGCCTCGTCTCTTCTGCCAACCCGTTAGTTTTCGCCTGGAGATCTTCCAGTTTGTGCGACAGCATATTAGACATATATCATCATCGACCAAAATCCAAATCTTCTTCTGGGGTCTTTTCATCGGTCGCAGCTCCTCAGAGTTTGTTACATGACCCAGTCCAGTCCAGTTGACCACAATCAGGAAGATGATCGATGATAGCAGGCAACGTTGTTTTACTCCTGCCTTCACTTTAGAGGTATCACTGACCTTTCCATTGTGATCTATGACGTCTTCATATAGTTGCTGAATGGGGTTGATAAAGATTTGTGACAATGAAACCGTAGTGTTGAAGCAGTTTCCAAATCGCTTCTCGGTCGACGCTGTCGAAGGCCTTTTCAAAATCTATGAAGTTGAGTTGACTGTCGTTCTATGCTCTGTTCTACGCTGATGCGTAGCGTTGCAATTTGGTCCGCACATGATTTTTACCTCCTGAATTCAGCCAACCAGCTCGTTCCGGTCATAGTCCAGTTGAATCCAGAGCACTTTTTATTCTCTCCAGGATGATGCTGCTCAATATTTCGTTTGGGGTGGACAGGAATATGATTCCGTAATAGTTCTTGCAAGGACTTAGGTCTCCCTTTTCTGGAAGTTTAACAAGGTAGCTCTTCTTCTTCCATTGAATCGGTAGGTATACTTACTTACTTCCTCCTAAACCTTTTGCAGTTGTGATGTGAGCATGTCCGCTGTTGTCTCTGCATCTGTTTTCAGTGCTTCTGGAGGTATTCCATCTAGTCGTCCTACTTTTTCGTATTTCAGCAACTGTATGGCTTTCAGGACTACACTTCTGCTTTTGTTGGGGGGCTTGTGTTCACTAATAGTTCTGTGGCTGAGCTTTGGTGGTATTTCTGGATGAGTTGCAGTTGATGGTGGCGGTCGACTCAAGAGTTTTTTGAAGTTGTCAGTCCGTCGTTTCCCTTGTTTCTTCTCTCTAGTAACTAGGTTTCCTTCACTATGTTTTATTGGTTTCACTTGTGCTGATCTCATCCCTCCCAAATAGTAACCTGGTTACTTGATATAGTGTTGTCAGGTCTCTGTGTCTCCTGCCTGCAGCCTTTTCTGCTTTACTTGCCAATGTGTCGTAGAAGTGTCTTTTGTCTTTCCGTACACTCCTTTTCACTTCTTTGTCCAGTGCAGTGTTTTATATGTTGTGTTCAGTTCCTCCTTTTGTTGTTCATCCTTACACTGATTTGTTTTCTGCTTCACCATCTCCCTCTCCTCTATCATCTTTCTTGGGTCTGTGGAGATCCGTTCCTTGTCTTCTTCCTTCTACGTCTCTTTCAAAGAGTTCTAGTGTTCGTCCACACAGGTTTCATCAGTGATCTTGCTTAATATCTCCCCTTTTGTCCTGATGACTAATGTGAAGATATCCCATGTAGTATCGTTCTTCACTTTCTGTTCTGGGTGCTGAACTTGAACTATGGTCTATCCCCAACTTATTTGAAGGCTTTCAACTTGATTTTGAAGGTTCCTTGTACTAGACAGTGTGTGGTGTGAACCCGAATCTGCTCCCCTTCTTGATCTGATCTAATGTTCAGTAGGCTGTATCTCCACTTTCTTGAGATTGAAATGAAGTCGATCTGATTTTTAGTGTGTCCCAGTATCGCGTTGTAAATGTCCTTGTGTTTGTACATACTGCCTCCAATCATCAAATCGTTGAGTGCGCAGAAATCTGCAAACAGTTCTTTATTCTCTTTCATTTCACTGAATGCTTCTCATGTTATATCGCAAATTGACAGAAGTCGGAAAATGTGATTTATTGAATTTTAACCCATAGGCTCAATGCCAGCATTATCACCGGGAAAACTGAATGTCTCTCACTTTATCTGGCTATATTAGATTTAAGATTTGTCACGCTATACCACCTACGGTATAGTGTGGTTATAGGTCAGCGCATGAACAGAAGTACCTGAGTTTTTCTGTAAATTAAATTATCTTAGATGGGTCTACCATTGTATGTCTCTCTACAAATTTGTGTTTTGATATTCTGACTGATCCAAATCAGTCACCTTGACCTATATAAATGAACTCACAATCATCATATGACATATGAAAGATAAGGTTATTTTTTCTAATGAGCTCGATTGAATGTTTTAGCCTGTAAAGTTTCTCTCTGAGTGAATACATAAGTCAAAGCAGCTGATAGGTGTCAGTTACAATAGCGCAGCATAAAAATATAACAAAACACACAAGGATAAACTCTGGAGAAGAGCTCGTTTATCGCTCTGCATGCACCAACCAATAATCACAGTATACCATGGGTGGGATAGGGTAACAATTATAAAATCGAATATAAGTGAAGGAAGAGATTGATTACACAATCTTTATTCACTGAATTCACACCTAAAAAATGTAAGAAGAAAGACTCATCAAATATTCCAGATATGTGCTCAAGTTCACTACCATTGAGATAACTGAATTAACTTGGTTGTATTGTGTTCTCTGAGCTGGGTTGTTTAACCGTGAAGCTTTCATCGCCTTGCTAGACGACGTCATCAGCACAACAACTTCACGGAGAAACGAAGAAAATTACTTGATGTCCATCCTAAAGAAGAACGGCTACCCATGAAACTTTATCACAAGATGGCTATCCCGTACATTAACAACTACAAAGTCATCGACAGAAATCAACAAACGCATCATTCTACCATACATAAAGAATATATCAGAAATCACAACAAGATTACTGAGACCACTTGGAATTGCTGTGGCTCATAAATCAACAAATTCCCTTCAACCACTGTTATGCAGACTAAAGGATGCAACAAGCAAAGAAGACAAACCGAATATCATTTGCAAAATCAACTGCAATAACTGTAGTCAACAGTATATGGGACACAGTGATCGGCCTCTTCGGCTTCGTCCACGTGAACAGCAATTGGCTATTAAACGTCACGACATTTCGTCACTCATTTCAATGCACGTGGATAATTGTGGATATAAATTCAATTTCGACAACGTGGAAATTTTGGACAGAGTAAACACAAAGAACACAGAGAATTTCTAGAAGCTTGACATTCAGGTCAGTCAGTCAGCGATCAATGGATGTATAAACATAGACCCGATCTATGAACCAAAATGAACCAAAATGATAAGTGACAGAAAGGTCAGAGGTGAAGCAAAGGAACAGCCAACAGGAAAATCTGTACAGTCAATGACACAACAATCGAAGGAAACAACCAATCAAGTCAAGGCAAGCTACTAAATCACTCATGGAGAGATAATGACAGCTCACTTCATACTGAAGTTAGTGCTGATGATGTCGCTGTCTAGCAAGACGATGAAAGCTTCACGATTAAACAACCCAGGTCAGAGAACACAATACAACCAAGACCATCCACCTGAGCTACAAATATTCTTCATTATTTCAAAATGAATTAACTGTTTGACTAAATGAAGAAAGCTTGGAAGTTGTATAATTACTTTGGTATGAATTCAAACAATAAAGTCATTTGAAAACGTCATCCAGCAAATTACACTGAATCACTATATGCCCTAACAAATAAACAGTTTAGTATGTAATCAGACTACAGTCTGTAGACTACTGATTTCACATATGAAGGAAAACTATACAGACGAACTTACAGTATTCCTATGAGTTCACCTATTTCACTCATACTAGCTAGTCTATTTATGAGTAAATTAGAAGAAAGTATCTTTACTCACTTAATAAAGTCAAATGAAGTCAAGGCGAAAATATGTTGATGACACATTCGTAATTTTAAAACGTGATATATATCAGGCATTCTCAGATCAACTGAACTCTAGATCTTCCAGTATTAAGTTCAACTAAGAAAAAGAAAA